CAGGCAGAATATTTTACATGTACAACAATGAACGGATTGTATTATAAGAGATAATAATTCTTCATAATCATCATTAGAGATGGATTTATTCAGCATGATCAAAATACTGACAATATGTCCGGAGTTTCAGGATCACGCTTGAACCATATATTTTAGACGCAACCATTATTAACGTAACACGTAGCATGAAATGAACGGACTTAACGGTAAAATAGTTTATATATTGAAATGTTTGTCTGTTGATAACTAATAATCGTTGTTTTATAGTATGGCGCCTGATCAAGCATCGAGTGTAATCTGAAGGATTGGACACTGTATATATTTTGAATACGGCAGTGGGCAAACTCGTTTGTGAGGAACGTATGAATCGCTGGTCCTTGCTTTGCGGTCTTCATTTTGAGCTACATGCATTAACAGAATATCTCTAACTTGAATTTACACCGTTCTCTGCATTTCAACACACCTGTTTGCTACAAAGACACGGTTTCTTCATATTAGGAGGAACAATCTTTACGCTAATGCCAATTTGCCTCTTTGGTAGATGTTTCATATGCTTTTACTTTCGAAATCTGTTGTTTTCGAATTTAAACCCATGAAAAGCTAGAAGGTTCTAGGGAAGTAGTGGTGCTAACCAATTTTAAATCAACTAACGACTGCTCCAGTCTGGAAACTTCTCATATGGGAAACAAAACGCGGCATATGTCAACCATGAGGCCAACATGAAATATGAACAGAAAACGTAAAACAGATTCACCTTCAGAGAAGAATATTCCCTTCTAGGATGCATTAACTGGCAGTGACTTATTGCTAAAGTGCTGAAAACCTGCGAATACAGTGGATGTCATAGATCAAAACTGTTCAGCTCATGCACATGGCTCAACGTGATGGTCTCAACAGGCAGACACAGTTTGATATAAGGGAGCCATTCGTACTCTCATATTCTCCAACTGTTGCGTATCAACAACTGGGTTGTAAAAATCATGATTTCATAAAACCGTTATGGCGACTTTGCAGATCTGTTCTTTAGGTAATTTAGCCATGTTGGGAAGAAGATGTTTCAGCAAAAGACTTGCGTTCATACTCGATGCATTTAAACGTCAGTAATGAATAGACTATTTGAACACTTTTGCCGTTTGGAATACGGTTTAAGTTGGAACTGTTTCTAAGTCACTTTGCGACCCTGGAACCAAAACATAGGAGTGAAGAGTGAAAAATAAAAATTTTAAACAGAATAATCCATTACAAGGAAAAAATCAGAATTGTTTGAAAGCCTGCCCTGTACATTTCTATAACATGAAGCACCTAATTTAGTAACCGCATGACGCATGCAAATTTTGTCACGTTACCGTAAGTTCAGATTGCAGTAATTTTTGAAGGCAACACTTCTGCAGCTTGACGATCGTTACATGGCCTCAGTTTCTTGCTTCCTTCCCTCTCACGTTTCACTTTGCAAACAAACAACGTAAGTAGCGGATACGATAAAATTTGTGAACGGCCCACAAGTACTTACAGGTGAAAACAGACGTTATACTGAGGGCAAAATCCTAACGACTTTCGAATTTCTGACGCGTGCGATCGAATGTCTTTGCCATCAACGTACACTGTTCCAAACGTAGGTGGTAAAACTCCAGTTATGATAGATCTAAAAAAACAATGATAAGTACTACAAAATGAATAAAAAACAATGATAACAGCTTTGAATTATGAGAATGTATCACTGATAAATTTCATAATTACCATCGTTCATGTCAGGTATATGAATTAACATTTGTTCATCACTTCTGGATAACGATTCATAGAGTATGACTTAGGAAACAAATGATAGGAAGGTTTCTTCGATGGATTGGTGGAATGATCAGAAGAGAAACTTTTCTGAACAGAAACAGTTCGAGTTATACTACTGTATGAGCCTCTACCTGTCCAGATGGACACGTTGCAACTAGACTGGCTTAGACACGTGACTAATATCCAGAGGAGAGACGTGCATGATAAGCAACCTGTACAAAGTCGCAGGAAAAATGATCAAGATATAGACTGTGTACCATATGCTCGGTTATTTGGATTCTTTGACCCTTCCTAGCAGCAAATTTCGGCCAATGGAGTTTTCTCGATTGGCGGAGGACCACAATCATCAGAAGTATGTCATGAAGCTGCTGCCATGCAACTTGGAAGGAATAATAGGCTCTGCAGATCAAACGAATGAATGAGCAAATCATTAATTGAGAAGGTTCGTAGAAATAACAGAAATTCGTAGTTTAAATATCAGGCATTAAAAACAGCAAAAATCTGCCACAACTGAAACACATAGTCAAAAGATATTCAGGGGAGGGGTGTCCAACGAAGTCTAACTCGTATTTTGCGATCGACCGCCTGCTAGGAGATGTGCCCCGTATGATTTTAGAACCTTTATGCAGCAGAATGTCGTTTAAACTGCGACCGCATGCTATGTTTCTTAAGACGCCGGTTCGACTCAATGGATGGGATAGGGGATAAGTTCATAGACTTTTTTGCTAACTGCTAATTCCCTTCAGCAATGAATTCATCCAGTTGGTAAAAACATCCTTGATACGCTATATCGCTGACCTGCGAACGGTAGAGACGGTGGCTTTCGGCCTTGGTCATTACAGAGCCTGCGAGGCGTACGATCATGTTACA